GTTAGTCAACTATTCAGTAGTCCCCGGGGGCAGGGGTAGGGCCAGCAGCCAGTGCACTCTAGCCCCACTCTTGGGGAGTCACCTGTCACCCTGCCCTGTTGCTTCTGTTTCAGAGGCAGAAGCATGGGGTGCCAGGCAGGAGGGGAGCCAGTTTAAAAACCAGCTCCACTTGTGGACCTTTGATACAGAGGCAGCAATGTGGGGTGGCAGCAGCCCCGTCCACAAGGAGCTTGGCCCCCCACGGTCAGAAGCTGCTGCCATAAAGCAGCCCCTTCCTGCAACAGGCCCAGGAGTGTTGTGGACAGACGCTGCTCTGCAGGATGCCGCTGTGGGCTGGGGCTGCTGCCAGAAAGCAGGTGGCACCGTGGAACCAGTGCTGAGGGGAACCAGATTTTAAACTAGCTCCCCCCAGCACCGGTTCCTCCTTCACCACCACCCCCCCTCAATACAGAGGCAGCAAGGTGGGGGGAATGTGAGTAGTCAACTAGATTAACCTATAAGCATAGGTTTACCAGTTACTTGACTGGTCGACTACTCATTTACAGCCCTTGTGTCTACTGGGCCTAAGTTATTTTTTTAAAGATCATCCAAGCGTATGTAATTTTGGCACATAAGCAAAACTCAAGATTTCAAAACTTAGGTAAGCTTTAAAAATGTGTTTATAGCTAAAGCATGGATGTACTGCAAGATGGGGGCAGTAATAGACTGTTTATATACATTTTTCTAGCATCCTATACCTAGCAGGGGCAGCCCTAGACTAGCTGCCAGCAACTGGAGCCCTAGGCGAACCATGAAATCGGCACTCCCACCTCCAAACCCCTCAATGATATTGCACCATCATTTGGCGCCACATTTAATGTGGTGCCCTAGGCGACCGCCTAGTTCACCTATATGGACGGGCCGCCCCTGTACCTACGTATAGGCTGGAGAATCTCCTGGTTGATGTGGTTTCCATTATATACAGGGTTTACGGTTTGGTCAGTGGCTCTCAGCACCCCCACTATACAAATTGTTCCCACACCCCTGCTAAGTGCTTTTGTCAGATTCAAACAAGCACCTTTCAATTTTGCTTATATGGAACTAGACTTCGCACCGTGTTCTTCAATCGTAGATTTCATTCTCCAGATACTATATTGCCTGAGAAACATTCCTTTCCCTGTCCTTCACTACAGGGTACAGTATCAAAGGAAACCAGCTTGTACCTTCATCCCAAATCTACTAAAATCAAAGAGGTTGTTTCCACTGATCTCTGTTGTTTCTGGATCATTCCCACAATGGATCACATTGCCTGCTGGAAATGGTTCTATTTCAGCATAGTCCATCACAGGCTTGGTTTCCCAGCTTTCTGTGATGTGGTGTTGTTGCTTGGGCAGAGAAAAGAGTGTGGATTTAGGAAGAACATAATGTTTTCCTAGGCTTAAATCCTTAATTTGGCATCTCAAGTGCTGGGTAAGGAACTGCAGATTGCTCTCCTTGTGGTGATGGTACTGAAAACACAATCAGCCTGAGCAAGGCAAGAGGGTTCTAGGTTTTAAATTAAGAAAGAGAGTAGGAATATTACTAGGATGTTTTGCAAAATAATCTGTCACTGCAAAATTAACACAGCATCTTCCAATATCAGGATGTGACATTTATTGGAGACAGCTAAAGAAAAAGCAAGCCCAGAATTTTGTTTTCAAAGAAGGAATTATGTATAGCACCAAATCGGGCAGCTTAATAAGCACCTTTCCCCATTGGGAACTGTGCAATAATTACCATCTATTCACTGCTGGTGTGAATCACTTTCTGTTTACCCATGAATTACTATTGACAAAACACCAATATGAGACTCCAATCAGTCATTTCAGCATTGTATTTTAAAATGCAATATTAAATTGGAGAAAGACACTCACACCTCTGATCCACAGACACCTATCACTACTTATCCCATACATACAGAAAAGGGAATATAATACAGCAATACCTGATCTCCACTGAAGAAAATGAATTACTGTGGTCTTTTGACTCTGGTCTCTCCTGCATGAGTTAAAGGAGCAGCTCTATTAGCCCAGCCTTTAAGTCCAGGGCATTGTTATAAAGGAATAGTTGCTGGTCTGTTCCAGTCAGTAGAAAGCTATGATGCACATACTCCTGTTACAATGAGATCTCCTTGAAGTATATACTGTATAGTAAGGCACTTTGAAAGAGCATGAAGTGAATGGAGCTAGTGCTCATAGCTAGCAGTAATCTGTGATTACTAGCATAAAAACCAAGTGGCCATGGATTGAAGAGCAGAAACAGAATTGTGTGTTTGGTCTATCTTCTTTGGGTTTCAGTTTGGTTCCAAAAATAACTTGTTGATATAGTTTAATGACTGTGAAAAACAAAGCAGACAATGTTGTGTTCAAAGGTCCCATCAGCCCTAACAAATCTTCCATGGTTTTCAAGACCATTTCTATCTATAAATCTAACCTGATGCATTTCTAGATCAGCCTGTATTATCATGTCTAGATGGTAAGGGTTCTTGAATTGGCTTTGGGTAACTCAAGTCCTGACTTGAGTAAGTAGCTCAGTTTTTTAAATGATTGTTGAAAACCACTCTAGGATCTGATTTTTGTAATGCTGTATGTTGGGTGAGCTAATATACAGATTACTTCCAGCCTGGGTGTATTCCAATAATTCCTCAAACCTTGCCTTCAGATACCCAAGGAAATAATTGTCTCTCAAAAACAAAAACAAACCCTAGTAAATCCTTAGCTTGTAAATTTTTGTGTGCACAATTTCTATTTTATTGTTTAATGAACTTGATCCTGCAAATTGTGCTGCACAGATACCTATTGGCTACCTCTAGACTGGCATGATTTTCTGCAAATGCTTTTAATGGAAAAGTTTTTCTGTTAAAAGCATTTGCGGAAAAGAGCGTCTAGATTGGCACGGACGCTTTTTGCAAAAGCACTTTTTGCACAAAAGCATCCATGCCAATCTAGACGCGGTTTTGCGCAAGAAAGTCCCGATCCGCCATTTTCGCCATCGGGGCTTTTTTGCGCAAAACAGTTTTCAGCTGTCTACACTGGCCCTTTTGCGCAAAAGCATTTCCGGAAAAGGGCTTTTGCCCGAATGGGAACATCAAAGCATTTGTGCGAGAAGCACTGATTTCGGACAGTAGAACGGAAATGCTTTTGCGTAAAATCAAGCAGCCAGTGTAGACAGCTGGCAAGTTTTTCCGCAGAAGTGGCCACTTGTGCGGAAAAACTTGCCAGTCTAGACGCAGCCATTGGTTTTAATGGCAGTTTTACCCATGAAGGTATTGATAATGAGATACATAGTCTCTAAGGCTAAAATTTCCAAAGCTGCCTAAATTAGTTATTTAAACCAGGACAATGTTGGCAAAGATGGGAAGTTTTTATCTGTTTGGACACCTATAGGATAGCAATTAATGTTCTCAACATAGTTTGTAAAGGAGCTGTGTCCCAATGCTAAAATCACAGTCACCATTAATTCTATTGATAGTTGCTTTAGTAGGGAAACCAAGGACTGAATGGCAGTAGCAACTGGACTTTCTCACGCTATCTCTCCTAGTAGTGATTTCTTTCAAGTGGGAAAATTATGTGCATCAGAGCAGAACAATTAAGAGTGCTTGCTTGCCTGTCTGTGGTATATCTGTTTGCTTGATAAATAGAACATTTTAGTTCCACTAGAGGTGACTCTAACACCTTTCATGAGCACCAAGGACTCAAGCCTGCAAAGTCAGGGCTGGTATTTTTGACTCCCCCAAAATTGCTTTTTGAGACAATATTCTCTATATAGTATGACATTTTCCAGGTTTTTATTTCCAACAGAATGATTTGAAATGAAACACTTATTTTAATTTTAGTCAAGCAAAACTGAAATAAGATTTATACCGGAATAAGTTAGCATGCTAGGAGTACCTTTATACTAGTATAAAAGCATCCATACTAGGGGAGGTTGTTCTAGTATGGTTGAAATAGTACAGTTTGTGTGTACGCAAGCCCAAAGTTTGATCTCAGGAAAGGGCTGCTGCCAAATACTTTTATGGTTAGAGATTTTCTACTGCCTATTACATCTCTAATTACAGTTTCAAAGAAGTCATGTGTTTGCTACCTAAACCAACCCTTGTAGATAAGTTTCTGAGTAAGCCTTGTTAATGATTATAAAGGCCTCCTAAAAAAACAAAGCAAAAAACCTCAAACAAACCCAAACTAACCTTATTTGTTTTGCATTTGTATAGTTGGATTCTAGGTAGAAAAATGTTTTCCAGTGTCAAAAGCCCTGGTCCACGTGGGGCCGGTCTTTGTGCTAGGAGGAAAGGGGTGGGAGAGAATAATACTAAACAAGATGTAAAATAAACCTGATAGGCTGTAACTATTTTGAAATTATTTTGGAAAAGAGAGAGTGTCTTGGTCAGCAAGGAGGAACTGGGATAGTCACAGGTGCCTGCATGGGTTAGGAGCACAAGTACTTAGCTGTGCTATAAAACAGCTAGCATCCCATTTGAGAGCATCTTGATCAAAGGGGAATCCCTCTCAGTCTCCCGCGGCATAGGGACTAAGGTTGTGTGTTAGAGGAAGGGAGGCAGGGGCTGCCTGTCTGGGCTGGTTCTGTGAGCTCTCCAGCGCTGCTACTGAGTCCAGGTCCCATAACTGCTTTCTGCGGTGTCTCTTGCACTTTCCTTGAAGCAGCCCCGGGGTTAGGTAGGACAGGAGGGCGACTCTATTCCCATAGTTTTATGTTCAGGGGAGTTCAGAGCCCGGGGTGCAGAGGTAGCCCCTCCCCCGCCCGGGTAACAACCCGTTCACACGGATTCCGTGTCAGCGTTCCCCCGCCGCTCGTCCCAGCGCCCGCTCACAGCCCAGCTCCCCAGCTCCTTTCCGCGCCGTTTGCAAACTTTGGCGACGGTCCCCAGAGCCGCGGCCAGCGTTGCAGAAGCTGCAGCGCCCGGCAGTGGCCGCCAGGGGTTGCCGGCCCGTCCCACTCGGAGCGCAGCGCCAGGCGGGCGCGGGTCTGGCCGGGGCGTTGTTGGGAGCGCGGCTCGGTGCATGTGGGGCTCTCCCGCCGCCCGCGCGACAGGGAGTCCGGCTCTGCGCCCCGGCGGCGCTCGGGCTCCCTGCACCCCGCGAGGAAGACCCCGCGGAGAGGCGGCAGCGGGCAGACGTAGCCGGGCTCAGGGCTGGAGGTAAAACCCCGCGTGGGCATCTCCTCGAGCTGCTTCGGGATCCCAGCGCCCAGCACGCGTGGGGGAGGCGGGAAGGCGAGAAGAAGCCCCGCGTTGCGTGCAGCGGTGTGGCAGAAGTTGGCCAGACGGTTAGTTCTTCCTCGCGTGCAGGGGGAGCAGCCAGTCCCGGGGCAGCTCCTTGCTCTTGTTCTCCCCCCTTCCTATCTCTCGACGTAGCCCTGCCGTGATGGACGAAAAGCGCGTTCTTGGGATACCGGGATCTTTGTAGTCTTGTGCCTGCTGCTCCCGACTGCTTTGCCGCTCCGGAGGGGCCCGAGCGGGATGGGAGATGCAGTCCCCCCGCATGCTGCTGTCTTGCTGCTGAAGTTTGTTCAGTAATAGGCTGGCAGTGGTTCCTGGTCCTGCTGACCGCGGGGGGGAAGGGGGGGCAGTGTGCATGGGGTTATTTTTCTGGTGTGTACAAAAAGAAGATAATGTGGGGATTTCCCTTGATCTCTTAGCCCCACCCTCGTTTTAAAGAGACCGCCCTTCCCCCGCTCAGCTCCACGCCAACTAAATCCTGATTTCTCTTAGGGTGGGGGATGGGGGCCAGGAAGGCTGTTCCAGCCGCTGGCAACAACTGTCAAACATCTGGATTCGCAGCCCCGCCCTTCAGTGTGCGAAAGAGGGTTTTTTTTTAAATCGCTTTGCTCGTTCCCTTTGATGTTTTTCCTTTCTCTCCAAGCTAACGAAACTATGAAACAGCCAATCTGGACCCCTGTCCAAGCACGCAGGATCCTGGTTGTCCTTGAAAGTCTCTGGCATTCATAGTAAAAAGAGGGGAAATGCCCACCAAAACAAAACAGTGCATGGGCTTTTCTTTGCCTATTGTTCGCATCCAAGTGTGTAGGGGCTGGGAGGCTGCGGTGGAGATTGGGAGCAAAAGGTTTAAAAGAGCAAAAGCGAAATAAACGAATTGTCATTGGTACCCAGGGCAGGTCTGATGGTAAATGACACGAAGGGCGATAAGCTAGTAGCAAAGCGTGTTGTCCTGCTCCCTGCATGCCACGGGAGCTTTTCTTGCTGTGCTGTTCAGGAGCGCAGGTCTTTTGTGCTGGTGAACGATCATGACTTCTGCCTTCAGCGCCTGTGGGAGTTTGCGTGGCTTCCCTTAAGGGAAGTGGCTGCCACTTTACTGCCTTCGGGAGGTTGGGGAATCCACGTGCTCGAGCGGGTGTGATCGATGCCTCTGAAAGCGAATGCAGCCAAAACTGAAACCGTCAACAAGTGTGTGCATCTGATCCGGTTGTTTCAGCCATGTGCAGAGGGGATCTGCGCTTCCCCTGCAGGGTAGGAGGAGTTACAGGAAGGCAGCGAGGAATAGGGCATTCCGGAGGAGCGTCGCTCCGCTAGCTATCCAGAGGCCCCCTGCCCCGCCTCCCCGTGCTTAACGCTGGTTGGTGGTTCCCCCCAGCCTTCTCTATGGATTGCTCTGAAATTGCCAGGCGGGAGTCTCAAATGCATAAAGTCCCATTGCAACTGGTGATGTTTTGCATGGGGAAGGGAGCCCCAGAGCCAAACCTGGGGATTTGTGACCTATTTGTCACTCCTGCTTGGCAGCTCTCAGGCACAACTCCTTACAACTTGAAATTGCACAATCTTTATTGAAAGCACCCTGTTTACTGTTTCACTTCATACAGCCAAGCTGCCAAATCTTACTCATTTGGAGACAGACTTATTCTCCAAGTGGTGTTTTAAATAGTCTCCCTTCCTCTCATGATTTTGCTGAGTGAGGGAATGAGGGATTTAAAAATCTTCCTTATGAATCTTAGTGTGATGGGCCAGATGTAAGACTTTTTGGAGTTTGGATCAGAAGTTGACACATGAATAATCAGCCTTATAACCCTGAAATCTAAGGTCCAGTGCAGAGAGCAGGGTCAGTGCTCAGTTGTGAATTTGTAACCCAACCAATAGTAACCAGCCTGAAGTGGGGAAATATTTCATAATCAGATGATGATTATTTGTGTAGGGATAGCACCCAACATCATGCCTCCATTGTTAAAAGCACTCTACAAACATCTCGACTTCTCAGGTTTTTTCATAGTTCACATATGCTTCTTGAATTTTAAGATAATTTTACTTTCTCTTAAATGACACTTGAACAAAGGTGCCATTGTTCCTGTTAACTGCTCTGGTTAATGGCTAGGCCTATAGCAGCTTCTAATAGAGCCTGACAGAAGCGAGACTGCCCAGATAGGTGCTGCACAAGGAACCAGCAGAGCCTAGAACAGGGATGGGCAACCAGGAACAGTGGGTGGACTGCATGAGTGGCCCTCCTTCATCTCAGTGAGCCACAGCAGCCTACAGCGCACTGGTGTTCCTCCTGTAGCCCCATTGCCTCCCTGTTTGCCCTCCCTTCCCTCTCCTCTGGTCCACCTGAGCACCTGAGCCCCACACTTACTAGTTCTAGGAATGTAAGCAACTAGTCAATTATCTGATAAGCAAAATCTTATCAGTCGACACACTAGTCGACTAGTTGCTCCCCCCCCTTGCTGCCTCTATCAGAAAGAGGCAATGGGGGGGGGGAAGGGGAGAAGAAGCATACTGGGGGGAGACGGCTTAAAAGCTGGTTTCCCCCAGCTCCAGCTTCGTCGGAGGGGGCAGGGGTACAGCAGTGGTGTTCCATCTTTGAAATGTACAAGCGTCCCTGCTGGGGCGCTTGTACATTTCAAACCAGAGGCACAGCATTTCAAAGAGGAAGAGCCCTTATTGACTAATCAAATAGTCGATGGAAATTCCATTGACTATTTGATTAGTTGATTAATCTCATTTTAACATCCCTAACCTGTCCCTCACACTCCCACCACTTTTGAAGCTGTACAAATTGCCTGATTCACACTCCATCCCCACTGTCCTCCCTCCCAGAGCTAGAATGCCACAAACAGTTGATTCACAGCATTCTGATTCTAGGAGGGAGGGGAGAAGCGGGGACAGAATGCAACTCAGGTGATTTGCTTGCTTAAAAAGTGCTGGGAGAGAGGGAAGGAGTAGGAAGTGCTCATCTCTGGTGCCCAGATGCACAAGAGGCATGTAGAAGATGGGGGAAGCCAGGGGGTCTGTGGGTCACAGGTGGAGTCCCAATGGCTGCATGTATCCTGCAGACACCATTGGCCTAGAAGTTGCCAGTGCTAAGTGCAGCTTCTAATGGCATCGCCCCTGTGAAAACTTGACTGCAGTTCACAACTACCTCACCCTGGTAACCACCTGCCTTTCCTCTGAGTGGAGCATTAAGAATCTGCTGGTCTAGGGGAGTGAAATTTACACCTGAATGTACAGTATGGGTCATTTTAGCCCAGGATTATGAGAGCAGGCCAAGGGTAGCAATAAGCACAAATGTTTCAAATAGTTCTAAGATACATCTCTGCCTAGTCACAGTTTGGTATAAATCACCAGCATAACTGTAGTAGGAGGCAGAATTTGTTCTCCCTGACATGCTTACCAGGATAACCGCAGGCTGTGGGCTGCTCCAGCTTAGCTGGACCCACAGAGCACTGCGATGGGCCGGTTAACCAGTCAGACATATAGTTTAACCAGTTAACATTTTTAATGAGAACATCCCGAATACCATTATTTTTAAATAAATAAAATAATTAAATTAATGTTTGTCATCACTGATCTGATACTGAATAGTCTAAGTGTTAATGGTGAATAATCCAGATATATCTCTTCTCTTCTCTTCCAATAATCTTTGTAAAAGAATCCTGTCATCTGGAAATTTGGTCAGTTTTGGGGGGAAAAAAAGAGTTAAAAGACATTTCAGCTGCTGGAACCTGCCTGCCAGTTGTTGTGGTTTGCATGCAAAATTTCCTTTTTTAAATAAATGACCTCCTTTTCATGTTGCTGGGTGGAAAAAGCCACAAGAGGAAATAACTGATGGAGAAATCCCTGAACTGGTCAACACTCACAGTCAATTAAGTAAAAAAAAATCGTACCTTAATAAACACACAAAAAGTTTTGTTTCTCTGATTCTTCAGTTGTGATTATTCTTAGATGTTACTTTTAATAGTTGAATTAAACACTTTTATTAATCTATATTATAGTACTGGGCAAATTAGTCGAAACAATAGTAAAGAATAAAATTGTGAGGCATGTAGAAGAACATAATTTGTTGGACAAAAGTCAACATGGTTTCTGTAAAGGGAAATCCTGTCTTACTAATCTATTAGAGTTCTTTGAAGGGGTTAACAAACATGCAGACAAGGGGGATCCAGTAGATATAGTGTACTTATATTTTCAGAAAGCCTTTGACAAGGTCCCTAACCAAAGGCTCTTGTGTAAATTACATTGCCATGGAATAAGAGGGAAGGTCCTTTCTTGGATTGAGAACTGGTTAAAAGACAGGAAACAAAGGGTAGGAATAAATGGTAAATTTTCAGAATGGAGTGATGTCCCCCAAGGGTCAGTCCTGGGACCAATCCTTTTCAACTTATTCATAAATGATCTGGAGAAAGGGGTAAGCAGTGAAGTGGTAAAGTTTACGGATGATACCAAACTGTTAGGATAGTCAACACAGAAGCAGACTGTGAGGGACTCCAAAAAGATCTCACCAAACTGAGTGATTGGGCATCAAAATGGCAAATGAAATTTAATGTGGATAAGTGTAAAGTAAGCACATCGGGAAAAATAACCCCAACTATGTGTACGGTATGATGGGGGCTAATTTGGCTATGACAAATCAGGAAAGAGATCTTGGAGTTATCCTGGATAGTTCTCTGAAAACTTCCACATAGTGTGCAGCGGCGGTCAAAAAGGCAAAGAGGATGCTAGGAATTATTAAGAACGGGATAGAAAATAAGACCCAGAATATCTTACTTCCCCTGTATAAAACTATGGTACACCCACATCTTGAATACTGTGTACAGATGTGGTCTCACCTCAAAAAAGATATTTTGGCCTTGGAAAGGGTTCAGAAAAGGGCAACTAAAATGATTAGGGGTTTGGAACGGGTCTCATATGAAGAGAGGTTAAAGCTACTGGGACTTTTCAATTTAGAAAAGGGAAGACTGAGGGGGGATATGCTAGAAGTATATAAAATCATAAGTGGTGTGGAGAGGGCAGATAAAGAAAAGTTATTTATTAATTCCCATAA